TGGTGGTGGCGGGGCTCGAACCCCGGACCATAAGGTCCAAACCACGCAGGTGACAGCGACTAAATCACTGCGCCACCATTACCTATTCTAAGCATTTTATTCCAGCTCGTTTTTCATGTTTCTGCTGTGTATTCGGTATGTATTGTTGTACAATATAAGTATAAGTCTGGCCCATAGGCTGTGACGTTTTCAGTTTATTCCAAAGAATTTTAAGGAACACTCATTTTCATTCGCAATTCTCGCTTTCTTCCCCGATCGCAGTCAAACATGTCTCCTAAAGTTGCGATTGAATATCGTCTCGTAAACGGCTTGAAAGACCCCACTTCAGATGCCGCTGCCGACGGGGATTGTGAACACGACGAAAACACACTCGCTGGACGTCGTTCCCACTTAGGAGATGATGATGACGGCCAATCAGTCGGTAGCCGTGCACGTATCCGTCATTCAGATCAGATTAAGCACTGCAAGTCTGTTGGAGGTGACCCTGTTTTATCCCCGTCCCAATATTCTCACGTATCCTCTCGTTCGTCACACCACGCCCCGCCGTCGTCCACATACACGGGGGAGCACCGAACTGAGAATGAAACAAGGCATTCCGGTGGTCCGGTTGATTCGACTACGCTCAATGGTGAAGTATTCACCTTTGATCACGAGGACACTGTTACGGTGGACGAAAAACGCGGTGAAAGTCGACTGGGTGCTGAACACTCGTCGGATGCAGATGTGAGTTTGTTTTGCCAAATTTATTTATTAGCTTGATTTAGGACATGGGTTTGCAATGAACGCAGCCTGTTATTGATATATCAGTTTCAGTTTATACATCCATAAACCATGCACTTTCGTGCTCCGGTTTTGATTGCTGTCTTTTAGCTGCCCATTTAGATAAACAGTAGGAGATAGACGAGAAGGTTAAAAGTAGAATTGAAGAGAAAATTGAGAATTCCAATGAACTAATGTTTACGACACCCAGCCATATCACTCAGTGTGTCTAACCATCGGGCACGATCATCCCGAGGTCCCTTTCCAGGGAGCATAACGGGACCTATGTGACCCAAACTCCTGTTTAAGGTTTTCACACCCTCAATCAAGGTCTTATTTTCACCACCTTAGCGCATTTTCCATCCGTTATCCACCTAAGCAAACATAACCCAAACAACGTGATATACAAATAATACAAACGTTTTTAATTCCATCATTTAATTATTTTAGAATAAGCTTTGACTCTTTCTCTAACATAATTTTCCCCAAAGTTGACTTCGATGCCACGGGCACTAACCCAACTCGCGTTTACACCGTATGATCTCTTCCTCACTGAATTGTAAGTGCTTATTGTCCCGTGTATTCATTGGTTAGTTAGGTACCTTATTGCGCATATACGTAAGCCACTATTTTTTTGACGCTACGACCTTTACCTGATGCGCCACCTCGCATTCCTGTGAATGCCCCTCTTCTGTTAATCACCTAGAATTACTGTCTATATTTTGAGCACCGAGACCTTTCTAGCATTGCGCATTATGGTGGCAAATTGGTATGGTAAATATTGCCACTGTGAGTGCACACGGTCTCAAAGTGTCCAACGTAACCCCCATGTACTGCCTTTTTTATCTTCGTGTTTTCTTTTTCCTTCTTACTTAGGCCTGTCCCATTCGTAGTCCTCTTCGCGATCAAGCGGATACAGACACTGGCACAAAGTCCATTCATAAAGCAAACGAGTGGGCAGAGATCAAGGACCCCGAAGCCTCTCGGGATCGCCTACTGTGTTTGCCCGTGGAACACAAATTCGAGAGCGATTTATCTTTCCTGTTGAATGAATTTGCCATTGACTCTGAAAAACTGAACAAGAATCTGGTCCCCTTCGTTTCTGATGGAAGTGTTCATTCCACTAATCCAACCACCCGAATGATCCCAATGGATGAAGTGGGCTGGGCAATCTTACAGCGGCAACATGAGCTACGCATGGTCTGTGCAGCCAATCATAGTGTGTTGCGCCGGTTAGTTCAGGCCGCGCGACGCGATGTACAGCGTCAGGAAATCCAGAGACGATTAGCTATTGCAGATGCTGACGTGAGTTACATGTGTATAAGCTGATACCTATGAGAAATCAGAGTTCTACAGAGTGGATGATTTACGTTTACCTTTTTATGATTATCTCATGTTAAAAATGAGTTGGCTTCTTGCATATCTCGGACGACGGCTTTCAGTGCGTGGGTGGTTTTGGTGAGGTCGGTGCAGACGGTAATCCGATCGCAGTTTATTAGCTGGAATCAAAGTGTACTCCCAGCCGCTCCACGCCAACCTTTGTCATGTTTGCTTATTTTCTAATCTGTCTGCCAGATATCGATGAGAAATCACTGGAATGCTGATTGCTCTGTACGTATGTTGTATCTCGGGAACACACATGCAAACCTGACATCAATCATCTTGCGTTCTCCTCCCATCAGTTTAACCACTAACCGAAGGATTCAGTGCACAGTGGCACCAAACCTAGGAATTTATGAAAATATCGATGGAAACAACAGCGGAGTTTCGCGCAGGCTCAGAGCACCTTGGCTGCTCTGCTTGTAAAACGCTGATTGATAGTCAATGGGTGGCGTAAACAGGAGGCATCTGAGATTATTCGGGATTGAGAAGAAGATTAGGGGAAATGAGAAAGATGGTTGTCCAAATAGGTGCCGAAGACTTTAGAGCACGTCATACTTCGCGATTGCCCACCGACGAAGGGGTTTTTGGGGGAACCCTAACCGAAGCCTTCGACTTAGAAGTCTGACCCACAAGGCAGTGGGGCGTAAATCCCATGCGGGAACGTGAACAAAACAACCGTGTGGGAGCTTCTAGGGACCTGTCACGGAAGGCCTTTGAATTCCGATCAATTGTGTTGTTCACTGGTGCGTTGATTATCGATCTGCTTTTCGGGATCGGCCCTTAGCCTCATGCACCCAATGAGTCAAGCGGAACGTGGACGGGACAGCTGGGGCTGCCCAGCTTGGGCGGGCAGTAGCTGTCCAATGAAGTGCGAAGACTTCTCCTACTGTCGAGAGGAGCCCCAGGTACTCTGCTCCTACGTCCATCTAATGGGGTTTTTTGACCGTTTAACTGTCCCTCATAGTGTTTATTTGCTGGAGCGGCCACTCCTATTCTTCATTCAAATGGGCCACCCAAAGACTGCAACCAAAACCGGCGCACGAAAGTGCATGGCTAATGGTTATACAAACTGAAACTGGCTACCTTGCTGGACGCTGGCAGAACCCTTCCTCCTGATGCCATATATGACACACCGCGCAAATCTCTTAAACACCAGCTAATCAAGAGTCTGAGGAGTGACCGCGCGAAGTGATGAATAGGAAAGTATAGAGAGATGCAGAATGCTGCGGCCTTCGGTAGTACCCGCACTCTGCCATCTAATTCGGAATACGGGCCCCAGGAAAACAGGTGTAAGTGAGCTAATTAAGGAACCCTTCGGTACACTGTTTCATCATCAAATACGCGTCTCGTTCGATGAGCTGAGCGCGTTGAGGCTCATTTCAACTGGTCCCCGTCGACTTCAGACCTATCATCCCGCACTTCGACTAGAAAAATACTCGCAGTTGATGCCAGTCCTCCATGGAGTTTTCCTGGGAAATACGTTACCTTAGAAGACATAAGACCTCCGACCCAGATGGGCAGTTCCCCTGGGTTTTCAAGAATGGAGGGTTATCTTTGGTCTTGAAATTGGCGAAACGTCTGGAGTCGGTACGTGAGAGCGAACAGGTTCCCACTGGGTGGTTTAAATCGGCCATCTAACCGGTTTACAAGAATGGTAGTAAATATTCTTGTGAAAACCGTAGCGGAGATAGTTCTGCTCTACCGAGCAGAAAGTTATCTTTTAGGAAAATGGGATAGCGGTAGACTGTCGGCGTTTAAACACCGCTTTCTACACAGCATTGCACGAATTTGGTGGCGCAACCGTACGAGCAACGTTGGGGTTAGACGCATTGTTTCAATTGACTGCGGTCGCCCACTGGAACAAGTGGTCGACCTCCGTAAAATATGTTGATTGGGGCATGTGTCATTCATGGTGCCAATGAGATTGCTGCAGCGCGCGATATTTACTGAGGTGGATGTTCATCATCATTTTACCGCNCGAGATACAGTAAAGCGAACTTCACTGATCGCTGCCAAGCTCATAATGCACACGAATTATAAGATAAAGCACAAGATGGGGAGGGATTGGAACTAATTAGAGGGAGGCAAGGAAAGCGAACCTCTGTGGTCAACAAAGAGAATACACAATTTAAGTGTGCATACGTACCTTTTCAAGCATTCTCACCTGATAAGGAATGACAACAAGAACGCCACTGCTGTTGGTTAGTCGCCATATCCTTCAATGTCTCCAACCACCCAGTTGCAGTATTTCGAACCCCAACCTGGAAGACGGGAGAGATCGATTCTACCTGATCGCTCTGTGCATTTCTTCATGCCTCGCTTTCACGTCATCTATTGGTCTTCACCCGGTTTCCTCCTATCTGGAGCCACAACTGCGAATAGGGCGCGGTGCGGCAAACGATGGCTGGGCATGTGCAATACGTGTCCTAACCAGCGAAGCCGACTATTTCGAATTCGATGTGACAACGAATTCTCCATCGAATCATTACTAAATACGCGACGACTTACCTCAGTTCGTTACACGCTCGCTCCATCCAACTCGCGCTAAACTACGTAAACATCAGCAGTCGAGGACTTCTAGACGACGGATATCTTTCACGTGCAAATTGTAGGCTTCGCAACCATCAAGCAGAACTGACTGCACACTGGCGCAATATATACGACCTTTCAGTTTCGAAGAAACATCGCGTCTGCACCAAAGGTGTTTCAATCATGCGTAAGCCTCTTTAGCCTTGGAAATGCGTGCAGTTACTTTATGGATTATGATACCGTTATCTGCCACACACCTACCTAAATAGGAGACACATTCCACTACAGCTTATTCTTGACCATCAAGCATCAGTAGAGGACACCCAGTCTTGTAGCATCACTTAGCACTTTAAAGATTCAAAGCGCATGCTGAAAGGAGGTACAGAACTTGCTAGTCTGTCAAGAGCGCATTGCGCATCCTCCATACTTTGCACTTTGAAGGTCCAGAGCACATACCGAATGTGGCCACTGCACTTGTTAATCTATCAAGTGCACTTTGCGCATCCTCCATACATTCGAACAGCCAGACGATGTCATCAGCGTACTCTTAATCGCAAAGCTTTTCTCCAGCTGTCCATTCAATATCTACGTTTTGGAGACCACTGAGTGCGCTCTCTAGTATTTCAATTTAGACGAAAATGAACAGGAATGGCGGAATAGGGCACCCCTAACGAATACCGCTTCTACTTTCAAACGATTTACTTAGCCCAGCGTAGACCCTACGCTACCAGAAGTATGCAGGTACAGCGACCGTAATAGGTTCACATACTTCCGCGGCATTCCTTTACAGTGCAGTGACCCCAGAAGAGCTTCACGGTCNGGTCAAGGAACCCAGCGATTTTTGGTCGACGATGTGTATGACGCCATTCGAGGGCCTGACGCAAAGTGAAGATTTGGTCGATGCAACCACGACCTGGTCGGAAGCCGGCTTGTTGTTCACGGATATTCCTCTCCCTTAAGGTTGTCAAGCGGCGAAGTGTCACAGAAGTCAACACTTTTGTGATTATCGGAACTAAACTAATCCCGCAGTAGCTGGCGCAGTTGTTGCGTGATCCCTTCTTGAAGATTGCGACGATCAACGATTCACCCCAGGCCAAAGGGATACGCTCCTCTGACCAAATGCTGCGAAGTAAGCTGGTAATTGAAACGACAAGAGAATTACCGCCCGCCTTAAGAATAATAGGGGAATCCCATCAAGTCCCGCAACCTTCCCGTTCTTTAGTGATTGAATGCAGCTTCGTACTTCCGATTCTAATGTGGGCTCGCAGGTTACCACCCATGGGGTTTCCGCCGCACCTGCCGGAATTACCGCATTAGCACTTAGCTAATTGAACTGTTCACTAAAATACTCTGCCGAGCGATCAAGTCGTTGTTCTTTATTGTGGATATTCCATCTACAGATGGTCTCATTGACCGGTATGCGACGACCTCCGGTGCTGCGTATCAGGTGTCAGGTCTTTGACTATTCCCTGATGTCGAAGCTACCTCCATTTCACTAACTATTTTGGTCCACCAATTTTCGCGATCCTTCTCAAGAGTATTCCTGGTTGACGTCGCAGGCGACACCGGTCCTTATGCTGATCTTGGCAGATGGGGATGTTTCGCTTTCGATCCATCAGGACTACTGACTTCTTAGAGATCCAATGCCTTCGATGAACTTCGGGTTCGGTCACACAAACAAAGTTTGCTGCTGAGTGCATCGCAGATCTAACCTGATTCCACTGTTGGTCTACTCCACTATGTCGCTGTTCTCCTAGCTCCTGTTCTAGCTTCTCCTCATAGTCTGCATAGACGATAATGAACCAAGTGGTTAGGTCATCATCTTTTGATCTGGGAGTCCTGTGTTCAAACAGCTCCACCGCCGCCCGTCTTCCCAGGCCACCTTTGTACGGCTGTGGCCCTTCTTCCTAAATGTACATTTGTATATTCAATAAATAGAAAAAAGGAAGTGAAACGACACGATATTTAGGGTAGCAGGAGTATATAATTCGTTCTTCCTTTCTTTTTAACATTAATAATTTGTAATATCTTCCGGGACAGAGAAGTTACGTACTGTGTTGTCTGATGTATTAATTCATTCCGAAACAATTTGACGTAAAAATCCTTTTCCGTTCGGCCTGAAGACTGTTCTCCTTTCATACGTACATTTGACCTGCAGTTCACTGTCTTCGGCTTTAATGTGTAGGTAAACAC